GGGCAGGAGCGGGGCCGTGGCTGTGGAAGGGCAGGAGCGGGGCTGTGGCTGTGGAAGGGCAGGAGCGTGGCTGTGGAGGGCAGGAGCGGGGCCGTGGCGGGGCGCCCCCTGGCGGCCCCACGCCGCCCGCGGGACCAGCGGAACTTAGCGCGCAGCTCGGCGCAAAATGCGCGCTCAGAGAGGGCTCGCTCCCCTTCGCTATGTCCAATCCGCAGCAGAAATAAGACAACACCGAGGTTTTGTTGTACTTGCAGGACAAAAAACCATAAAGCACCATCTCCTTTCCAAACGCCATCAGGCCTTTGGGCACCTAATTTCACCTACAAGCACTCCATGAGCACCAGTAACTCCAGAGCACGTGTACTCATGTAGGTATCACTGTCTAAATTAAAACAGTGAGCAGGTGGGATGCCTGTAGATAAATAAAAACATAACGTTCCTAATACAGAGTTCAGAACACCGACAAAGAGCTGTTTGACTTTCAATGACTTCTTTAAATGACAACAAAGTTTTACTAATAAATGATCACCTCTCTTCCCTACCTGTGCTGGAGTTTCAGGCCATGTTCAGCTGCGAGGGTATTTTAAGCAAAGGTGAAATATGTTTAGAATTTGGGTTTTGGACAAACGTTTTATCATATAGAAATTTCAGCACAAAACATTCCCTTGCAAATATGCATGAAATTCCTCTGAAAAGTCTGGTTGGAAAATCTTTATAATCAATATTTTGATGACACAATGCTTTTGATACACTTAAGTTACCTTCGTTCCTGCAGGATTCCTATATTTTCCAATAAAAACATTCCTCTCTAACCAGTCATCTCCGACTAAGTTCATTACACGAAGAAAAAATATTCAGCAAAACAAATATAACCTCAATTCGCCTTGCAAGAGAAAAGGCTCGATAAGGAACAGCCTCTCCTGTACGAGCGCGGATCTTACCTCTTCAACTGTCAGAGGCATACAGATCCGGTACTCCTTCATGAGCATATTCCTGCTGCTCAGTGCGGACCGGCGAACTGGGAGAAAAGTGGTGATTTCTGCACAGAGATCACGACGGAAACCAAACACGGGGAGAAAGAATTAAGCCTCTTTTCTCTGTGCGCGCTTGACAATGTGTTCACAAGACAGTAATGCAACCATCCAGGAAGGCTGACCCAGCAAGAAGAGAGACCACCACAACTGCTTCTTCCTCCCAGTTCTTCCTCCTTCACACTGCGATCATGGGAATCTCACAGACGCTCGCACCGAGATACGCTACAAAGTCTCAAACCCCCACCGCTCTCGCCCCAGCCGAAGACATCCGTCGGAAGTGCATGGAAACGCCGAGCTCTCTCGCGGCTGTGTCAAGACATGCCTGGGGCGGCGAAAGGAACAAACGAGCCGAAAATGTGGCTTTCGCCCCCGCCGGCAGCACGTCGGGCGGCAGGAGAGATGCGATGCTGATTCCCAAGACAAAGGCTTTTTATAACGTTGCCTTCCCCGGCTGCCAAACGCGGCTCCCACCTCCCCGCCGCAACGCGGCTGCGGGCGCCGCGGCTCCCGCTGGGCTCGGGGGAGGGCACGGGGGGGCAGCGCGGCGCTCAGGCGGGCGGCCGCGGGTTCCCCGGCGCAGCCGCGGCCGGGGTGCTCACGGGCGGAGCGGAGCGGCTGCAGCGGCGGCGGCCCCGGCGGGGCTCGGCTGACATCAGCCGGGCGGCAGGAAGGAGGGAGGGGGCCGGCGCGGGGGCAGCGGCCCCCGGCGCTCGGGCGGGTTCAACGGGGCCGGGCTGCGGGGCTCCGGGCAGCGCCCGCCGGCGCCTCCCGGCAAGGAGACACCGGCAGCGCTGAGCCCCGGGAATTCGCGATTTCACTTAATTCTGTCGTGAAGACTTCTCGGGTTTTGGAAGTTTATTGCACTACGTGCGACAAGGCACCTTGCAAAGCATTTACACCCCGGTGCAGGAGCGGCGAGCCCGTGAGGCTCGGGCTCGTACCCGCCTCCTGATACAAAAGGAAAGGAAAGGACAGCGTGCGCTCGGTGCGGACACACACAGGATGTGGAGGCCTCACCCATTTCCCTTCTGGTCAGCCCTCTGCTATCAGCCAGCACATTTTGCAGCACAAATGAACCCCGTTTTTCATATAGTTTTTTTACTTTCAAATGACACGCAGAAAGTTCAGTGAAAAAACGCCTCCTTCCTAGCTGAACTATAAAGCCAGAACCGTTCTAGGAGGTCTCCCCACCTCTTTTAGTGAGGAATTTGTTAGTGAAATAGTTTTTTAATATGCTTGGGATTGTGTTTTTCAGAGAAATGTACACATCATTAAGTTACAACTTGAAATGCACAGGAACCCAATTCTGAAACTACCTGGGAACCCTGAACTGTTACACAACCTCAGCATTTCACATTTAAAATGCTCATCCTGCTGTTTCTCCTGTTCTCCCAGTGGCTATAAAGCCACTCACTGGATTGCAGAGAAGCACTGTAAGAGCAAAACACGAGGTACTGCACAGATAATGGTAAAATATACATCTGCACTTACATACCAGTTGTTTGCAAAGAAAAAAAAATGAAAGCAATGATGTACCATATTTGGGACAGTTAAAGAGCAATTTAGGTCTACAGTGAAGTGTGTGTTTCATAACAAGAAAGAGCAAAAAGCCCCTCAGAATTTCATTGGTTCTGGATGTACATTTCAGAGCTGTGGGTATAATTCTCAGCCCAGAGGACACAGTGCCATCTCCTGGAGCCAACAACGTCCGTTTGCCAGCCCCTTGCAATAATGGCACAGTATTTCACATCCTTGCCTTCCCAGGGAAGTGCAAACACCTACACAAAGAAATAAAAAAATCTGAGAGCTCTATTAACAGTCTGGATTTTCAACTGAGGTATGAACAATGTGTTTAATGAGACTTCTGTCTCAAATCTGACACAGCCATTTATAAATACGGAAACTGTGGCTATATTTCATAATATTGGTACAGTATGTTCCTGGAATTCCAAGCAAAATAGCAAAACCAAGGTACTACCTTGTGATATCTCACTGCAGGAAGGACATTGAGATGCTGGAGTGTGTCCAGAGAAGGGAAGGGAGCTGGGGTGGTCTGGAGCACCAGGGGTGGCTGAGGGAGCTGGAGCCTGGAGAAAAGGAGGCTCAGGGGGACCCTTCTGGCTCTCCACAACTCCCTGGCAGGAGGGGCCAGTTGTGTGTGTGTGGGGTGGGGGGGCAGGGGGAACGGGTCAGGCTCTTCTCAGGGAACAAGTGATGAGAGGAAATGGCTTCAAGCAATGCTGGGGGACATTTAGATTGGATATGGGAAAATGTTTTTCACAGGGTTGTGAAGCATTGGAACAGGCTACCTAGGGAGGTGGTGGAGGCACCATCCCCAGAAGTGTCCCAAAAATGTTGTTTGGATGTGGCACCTGGGGACATGGTTTAGTGGTGAACATAGAGGTGGTGCTGGGCTGACAGTTGGACTTGATGATCTTAAAAGTTTTTTCAGCCATAATGGTTTTGTGATTCTGTGGTATTACCCACAGATGAGATGCAATCCAAATTCATATTTAAAACATTCTTCAGTTTTAAGTGATTTTCTAGTGGTTTCTTCCACTGGGAACAATATTTCTGGTTTCTGCTGAAACATGTTATAAAAGAACCTGAACTTGGCATGGGGCCTTGATGCTACCCAGCTATAGGCAAGGACACTGATTTCAATAAAACCAGGAGAAAGACTTAAACTAATTTATCACCTATCATGTGATTTCAACATAAAGCAAACCTTACAGCTCTGTGTACATTGACAAAGCAGATCTGCAGAAAGCAGCATGTCAAATACAGAACTTGCTCAAACTGGAAACCAAGACTAATTCCCATACCTGCAGCAAAACATTCCTCAGTCATGGGGAAAGCAGTGACCCCAAGAATATCCCTTACAACTCCCTGCTGGGAGTGCCCAGACTCTTTCCAAAGCACACTCCCCAAATGCTTCCTGGGGGACATGCTGAGACAGAAAACTTCCAGCTCCCATGAGCCAGGCAGTGCCTGCCAAGCATTCCTGCCTCAGTTTTGGGTTTTGATTCTCATGAATTGGCAGAAATTTTTACTCTTACCTCTGCAACATGCTCTCAATGCTCTGTTGTGAAAATGAGACATTTTTCACTCATTGTTCATTTCTGACCTGGGGGGAAAACGCCCATATGTTGAATTATGCTGAGTATGAACTCCAGATGGACTTGTGTCAGCAAAGTGTCACTTCAGAGTAAGAGATGGTAAAAGCCAAGCTGTTTCTTTGGGTGTTTCACTAAGGATTTTTGCATAAGAATTTAGTTTCTTTTTTAGCCACTCAGGGATTCTATA